TGTAGAGATGAGGTCTCACCAAGTTGTCCAGGCGGGTCTCAAACCCGTGGGCTCAGGCAAGCCACTCACCTCGGCCTCCCAAAGCGCTGGGATTACAGGCTGAGCCACCGAGCCCGGCCGCGGACTCCACTTTGAACTGCTCCCAGGATCCCAAAGCCCCCCTGGAGTCCAGGGATAGCGGCTTTGTGTCTTCACCAGGACCGGGACCGACCCTGCTCCTGCCGCCTTGGCTCTCGTGAGACCAGCAGGGAGACGAGACCAGAGACGGCCTCTCCGCTCCCGGCTTTCTTCTCTGGGAGGACACACCAGGCTGTGACCCGCCCCCCTTGAGCTGCTTTTAGTCAAACAAGGACAGGAAAACCGAGTATCCGAGTGTCCGAAGGCCTGTTTTTAAAAGAAGAAACAACAACCAAAACCCTCTAATGCCTGACTCCATTCCCAGAAGGGTGCTTGTTACCCGACTGGAAAGCCTTTAATTACCAGAGCTGGCCTCTTCCGACTCTGAAATGCTGAGAGGCCAGAGTGAGGCCCGAGGACACACAGGGAGGACAAGCAGGAGGCGACAGATCAGGATGGCAGGGAAAGCCCAAGGCCAGACGGCGAGTCCTGGGCCTAGATCCCCCATGTCCTGGGGCTCCCGGGCTTCGGTTCTGGACTCTGCATCTGAGGGCACTGGCTGTCCAGATGTAGCAGGGGGCGGAGGCCCCCATGTTGGGGAGGTGGCTGGCTGCTGGGTTATCTCTGAAGGTGGCGCTTAATTTCCTGTAATCGTCCTTAATTATCCCCCTCAGTTCCGCCGGCAACAGGAGGGGGAAGCCCGCCCTGTCTCTCTCAGCAACCCCAGGACCCTGCACACCGCTTGGGTTTCACCCCTGAGGAAAGCCCATGGCAAGCCGTGTCCCCTCCCACAGTAGGAGGACAGCTGCACGGGAGGTTACAGCCCTGGGTGAGGTCACTGAGACGTGCCCCAGCAGGCTGGCCAGGTGGGGGGCAGGGGGAAGCCTGCCTGCCCTCCCCCAGGGCCTGGTGGCCATCCAGGGCTTTTGCCCGTCAGGGTTTCTAGTGGCTCCTGAGGAGGCCTCAGACCAAGCCAGCGACTGTCACTGGGTCACATGAACACTCGGCAGACAAAGGCCGGCACGGAGCCACGATGGTGAAAGTGGTGGGTGGGGACCGGATGCTCTCCTTCCAGAAGTTTCTGCAGAGGCCCATCTGCAAACTCCTGCTTTAACTTGAGCACCCTCTGCCTAGGCCGAACAAGGAAGCTCTGCAGGCCCCAAGGGCGTGAGGCTGGGCGTCCTAGGGAGACAGCTGTGAGGGGCAAGGCCTGGGCACTGGGCGGGGGGCAGCCTTCTGGAGCCCACGGAGTGCAGGAAGGTCTGGAGTTGCTGCTGGCCGCTGGCGGGCCCCGGCGTCCACTCCGAGCGCGTTCTGGGCTACCAGTCGCCCCTTTTCTAGTCAATAAAAATGGCAACCCGCGTTTCTTCAAGTGGCCCTCTCCTTAGCCTCTATTGATTGGGCTGGGGGAGGAGGGAAGAGAAGTGGGGGGTGGGTTCTGCTTCCGGTTCCACCCACCACGCCTGCAGCTCCTTGGGTCAGCCTCTGCCGGCCACAGGTAGCCTCCACCCAGCTGGGTGAGTCCCCAGTGCCACAGCCGGTGCCAGGCAGGCGGGCAGGCTGATTCAGCAGGGTGACAGGCACATGCCCAGCCCTGGGGCTGACGGTGCTGCTGAGAGGACAGCGGTGGTGGGGGTGCTCTGCCCTTTCCTCTCTCCTCCCTTTCCTGGGCCGGCTCTCCATCCCTCGGGGCAGCTCAAGACAGGCCAGGGGAAGGGGCCTGGGCCCTGTTGACAGAAGTGGGAGGTGCCCAGCAGGGCACAGGCCGCGGGCCAACCCAGGTCCCTTCCATTTCTGCTGCTAAAGTGTCTAAGTCACCAGCCTCTGTGGTCTGATTTCAGGGGCCTGAAAATACCCCCCTTCTCATCCCACACACATCCTTCTGCCTCGGACAACACCCTTGGACACTCATTCACTCATTCACTTTAGCTTTTGTCACGGACGAAGAGGCAAAATGCGGCCGCCTACCCGTCGTGGACACTTTAGTCCGAATGAACCACTGGCTTGTTTCTAAAAGCTGGCATGAACCGGCTTGAGCCTCCTTCCAGAGGGAGACACGGGGGTCTGTGCCGCAATCGGTGGTGGGTCAGTGCCCCAGGGGGAGCCCCCATTCCCGGCAGCTACTCCCCAGCGGCGCCCAGGAGACTGTCTGGGGCGTCCTCCTGAGCCCCAACTCTCGCCAGAGCTGAGCCAGCCACCCAGCCTGAAGAAAGGGAAGCTGTCACTTGGCCCAGGAGCCCGGCAACTCTCCCTGAAAGGAACACCCGTCTCAGAAACCGGGACACAGGCGCGACGGTCTTAGGGTCTGGCGAAGACCCTTGACGTGGTGCAAATGCCCCGGCTGGGGACGCTGGGGAGCGGGTCCTGGTCCTGGTCCTGGTCCTGGTGCCCACCCTGCCTCTGCCGTCTGCATGGTCAGGGAGAGGAGGAAACCTCTACTCAGCACCTTGGAGCCTCCGCCAGGCAGGGCGCGTCCCCGATATTATCTCTGCCGGGGCAGTGATTAGCCGCATTTTCTACAGATGAGGAACTGAGGTTCCCAGGAAGGGGACATTACCCCTCAAGGCCCCATTGTAGGTGCACACGGAGCCTGGGTCCAAACCCAAGGCTCCTCTCCACAGAGCCCTTTTGGGAAAAAAAAGCTGTGTCTTATTATTTTGAATCGGAGACTCACTCTGTTGCCAGGCCTGGAGCACAGTGGCACGCTCGTGGCTCACTGTAGCCTTGACTTCCTGGGTTCAGGTGATCCCCTCAGCTTCCACCACACTCAACCAATTTTTAATTTGGTTTTGTTGAGACGAGGTCTCACGATGTTGTCCAGGCTGGTCTCGAACTTCTGGGCTCAAGTGATCCTCCCACCTCAGCTTCCCAAAGTGCTGGGGTTACAGGCATGAGCCACACTGTCCGGCCTCCACGAAGCCTTCGTTCCTGCTGTTTCAGGCGTCCAAATGCTCCTTCTGGCCTCGGTTTCCCCACCTGACAGGTGAGCCTTCCCACCCTGACATTCCATGCTCCCCCTCACATTTACCCCTTTCCGAGGCCTTTGGCACCTAATAATAATAACAACAACAACAACAATAATAATACAACACCAAGCTCCTTGGTAGAGCTCTACCAACATTGGCCCGTTTAAGCCTCACAGCGACCATTTTTTTCAGATGGGGAAATTGAAGGGGCTCGCCCAGGGTCACCCAGCCAGGATGCGTCTAAGGCAGGGCTGAACCCCAGTCCTGCCTCTAAAATCCATGCTCTCAAAAAAAAACACACTGCCTCCAGAAAATGCAGGAAGAGGGGGTGAGGGGGCCAGGAAGGGCCCAAGAGCAATGCCACACATCCAGGTACGTCCTCCTCCCCTGCCCCCACAGTCCCTAGTGCCCGGCCGGCCATACCTGTGAGGACTTGCTCCAGAAATTAACTTCTTGGTTGCCAGGGTGGGGGCAACAGGTTCCTAGGCAAATCTTGGGTCTCTTCCAGCCAATCCTGAGCTCTCGGCCCTGGGAAGGGGCTGGGCTTCCAGGGCTGGAGCCAAGGAGTTAGCAGCCTGGCTGGAGGGGCGGGGCCGGGGACTTATAAACCGGGTCCCAGGGGGCCTCTGGGGCAGTGCTGGGGTTGGAGGCCACAGCCCAGTCTGAGGCCAGCATGTCGATGCAGAGGATTGTGCGTGTGTCCCTGGAGCACCCCACCAGCGCCGTGTGTGTGGCTGGCGTGGAGACCCTTGTGGACATTTATGGGTAAGAGCGGGAGGTCTGTGGGCCCTTGGTGCTGACCGCCTTGGACCGTCCTCCCTGCAAACCGGGCAGGCGTCTGCGGGGCTCACCCCCCAACCTTGGCCTTGGAACAGCGGCTAATCAGGGAAGCGTGGGTACTTGCCTTCATCGGCTGGGCTTCTTGAAGACCTTAGCCAGGGGATTTGAAGTTTGGGAGGCTGAACAGAGGGGCCTGGTCCAGGGGCTTGGAGGGTGCTGGTGTCATGGGGAGCTGGGTCCCCTCCTCCGTTCAAAGGGTCCGGCAGGCTGGGCTGGGAATCTGTCTGGGACACACAGGAACAGGAGGAGGCAGATATGCTCACCCCTATCCAGAGCCTGGACATGGAGCATCATTCGTTTTTAAAAATCAACCCTATGAGCTAGGTTTATTATGGGCATCCTCCCATGGGACAAATGAGAAAACCGAGACACAGAGAGGGCAAGCCATTCTCTCAAGCCACACAGCTCCTGAGTGGCAAAGCCGGGATTTAAACCCACGCCTGGTGTTACTCAAGAGTCCTGCTTTTGGCGGCTCTGGCACCTGGAAAGGAGGGATTTCAGGTCTGGCTTCCCCTAGCCGTTCAATGCCCATGCATTATGCCCCTATGTGTGCTAGACCATGCCCTTAAGGCGGAGGTAGGGCCCCATCTTCTCCCTCTTAGGAGGAACAGAGGGCTAGGGTTAGGGTTTTGGGAACTGGGCTGCAGGAACCACCAGGGAGCTGCCTTCTCAGGCTTTCGAGTAGTCTCCAAGGGCCCAGCTCCAAGGCCGAGCTGGGGACAGGTAACAGGGTGCTGAGAGGGAACGGTGCAGAGCCGCGTGACAGCGCCCACACCCCAGGGCCCCCGTCCCTCTCCCGGGGCCGGGTTTCTTAACCTCAGTGCTACTGACATAGCTACTCCTTGCACGGGGCCGTCACTGCAGGGTGCTGAACATCCTTGGTCTCTGTTTACTAGAGGCCAGTGGCACAGCCCTCAGTTGTGACAACCAAAAATGTCTCTAGATATTGCTAAATGTTCCCTGAGGGACAAAATCACCCACCTGTTGAGAGTGTCCCAGACTAAGACTAAAACTCAGAGTGAACTTAGTTGGAAGCAGCAGATGGGTTGGTCCAGGGCATTGGATGAGAGGGGGTGAGGAGCTGGTCACGGGATGGAACCAAGTCCGGGGAAGCCCCAGCCTAGCTGGGTGTACCAGAAACTAAAGCCAGGTAGCAGGCGGGTGAGCAGTCAGGAATAAGAGGGAGCAGCGAGGGGACCATGTGATTTCTGGGGGAGAGATGGGAGAGGAGAGGAACATGCCGCCCGGCACCCCCCCCCACCGCTTTGGGGCCGCGTGCCCTGGGGTGACTCACCTGCCCCAGCTGCCTGGTGCCATTGGGCAGATGTGGATCCCTGTTGACCTTCTCCTGAAAGGCTGAGGCTGGCTCCTCCCCCACGGAGCGCCCTTCGAGAAGTGGGGAAGGATGGTGGCCGTGAGAGGCGGAGGCCGCGGCGTTCCGTCTCAGGTTGCCCAAGTGAGACGAGCCTCGGCCACAATGGAGCCTGGCAGAGCAGGCTGTGGGTGGGACAGCCTGGGGGAGGGGGTCCCACGTCTTCAAAAGAGGGATTCTTGGGCTGCGGTGACCAACCACCTGGGGCCAGGTGGAGAGCCCCTCGTTCCTTCACATACTCATCAAGTGTTCCTTTTGGCCTGGAGTGCATGGGCCCTGGGGACACACCCGGTGGCGCACAGGCAGGCGTGGTCCCTGTCCCCAAGCACCCGCCCTCAGGAGGTCTGGCAGGGGCTGGCCCCCCTTCTTGCCGGATGCTGGCGGAAGGGCTTGAGTCTTGAAGGAGAGCAGGGGCCTGGCCCCGAGATCCCTTCTGGCTTGGAGGTGCTGCGGTGGAATGCTCCCAGCCGCTTAGCCCGTGGCCCAACAAGAGAAAGGGCAGTTGGTGGGTGGCTCCGTCCTGGCTCCATGGCTCCCCAGGTGTCTGACCTTAGGAAAGTCTTTTAACCTCTCTGGAGCCTCAAGGATCCCCACACCTTCCATATGCAAGATGGCTACGGTTTCTGAACCATATTGGGAGATGGAGGCTTTGAGAAAATCAGTGTAGGCTCAGTCAAGGCAGGCTTCCTGGAGGAGGGCTCCCATCAGAGCCTTGAGGGAAGGGCACAGGCAAGACCGTTGGGCCTCTCTGTGTATGGCAGTGGATTCAAGCCTGTCTTCTTGCCTCCCCATGAGTTGGCGATGGCCCCGGCTTGGTACACGGGAGTTTTTCTTTCCCGAGCAGTTAAGTCTCAGGAGGGTGGAAAGGGCAGGAAGGATGACACTCCAGTGCCCTGAGCACACCCTGGCCGTCTCCATGCAAGCTTGGTCTCCACTTTGCAGAGGCAAGAGCGGAGGCTGGGAGGCAGGTGGCCTCACAAGCACTACCCCACGGGGCTGCAGGACTTGAACCCAGGTCCCGCCCAGCTCCACAACCCAGGCTCTTTCTCAGCGCCCTAATCAGCACAAACATTAGCACGAGCCCTGGAGGAAAGCCGGTTCGACCCTGACTGGGGCAAAATTGAAATCCCAGGGTGAGCTCTGGTGGCGGAGTTGCCCCCAGGGCCCGGTGGCCAGAATCCCCCAACACGTGGAAGCACTTCTTGGGGACTGTCACCTGGTGGCTGCCTATGTGACAAGGGCCCTCAAAGCAGGTCGCCTTTGGGAGTCTCTGCAAGGTGGACTGGCGAGGGATCCCCAGGCTGGTCCAGTGCAGGCATCTGTGGGGTTTTTACCCCCCCTTCGTTTTTATTTGGGGACACGGAGGCCCAGAACATGAAGTGACTTGTCTCGGGTTACACGGTGAGTGAGGGGCAGAGCTAAAACTGGAAACCGGGTCTTCCAATGCAAACAAAGGACCCTGACGATGGAAGGGGAAGGCTCTGGAGCGGCTGCCCAGAGCCGAGGCCGCCTGGGCCTCAGCCTCCCCTGCCCCGGGGGCCAGCTGACCATCGTGTCACCTTCCTGTTTTCCATCACAAGGACCTTCCTGTCTAGTCTCTCAACTTCTGACATGTCTGTTTTGTTTTTTTTTCCCCCAGGGGCCCATGAAGGGAGAGGGTGGGCTTGGGTCTGCAGGGGACAGAGCTGGCTGTGAGTCCCAGCTCCGTCACTCCCTGGCTGTGCGACTTTGGACAAGTCAGCCACCACCTCTGAGCCGCAGTTTTCTCATCTTTAAAGTGGGGGCAACAGCCCACACATCCTTCATTACCATCATCCCCACCATCCTCCTCCTCACCACTAAAGGGCTGGTGCGGGTTCCCGGGAGGGGGCGGGCTCACCCTGGGCCGTCCCTACTCCTCCCTGGGACCAGGGTCCCCGCGTTTCTGAGACAGCCTAGTCCTCCGTGGTTCTCAGCCGTCCGTGAGCATCAGAGTGGTCCACAGTGCTGATGCCGGGGCCCGCCCACAGCACTTCTGTTCTGAGAATCGGAATTTCCAAGCGGGTACGTCTGAGGTTGGCCTCTTTGAGGGTGGCCAGCTGTCCCAGTGTGCCCGGCACCTTCCAGGTTTTAGCACAAGTGCCACATCCCAGAGGCTGGTGGCCCCTCTTCCACATTCCTCCCTCCCCCACCCTCCGCTCGCTATCTTGGACGGCCGTGCCATGGGAGCAGCTGGACCCTGGGCTGGCTGGGAGGGCCTCGGACAGTCCTGGGCATGGACAGCTTCTGAAGGAGAGAACTTGGGCCCAGAACCAAGTGCTTCACCCAAGGCTGGCTGGGAGCACTGCCCAGGGGCACCTAGAGCCAGCCTGTGAGGACTCAGCCACACTGGCAGCTTGCGTGGGCCTCGCCAGAGGAAGAGCTTTGTCCAGGTGAGGCTTCCCCATCCGCCAGGAAACCAGAAACTAGAGCCTCCTGTACCTGATGCAAGATTGCCACGCCCTGACCTTCCGCACATACGGCTTTCATGACGGATATGAGCACTGAACTGGGAGTCCAGGGCCCTACCTTCCAGTCGTCTCCCTCCTGGGCCTCGGTTTCCCCAGCAGTTAAATGAGGCATGTCGTGGCTCATCCTGAGTGCTTCACCTGCACTGACTCTTTTTTTTTTTTGAGTTGGAGTCTCACTCCGTCGCCCAGACTGGAGTGCAGCGGCCGCTCCCGGCCACCACAGCCTCGACTTGCTGGGCTCCGGTGGTCCTTCCCCCTCAGCCTTCCAAGTAGCTGGAATTACAGGCATGCGCTACCAGGCCCGGCTGATTTTTTGATTTATTGTAGAGATGACGTCTTGCTGTCCAGGCGGGTCTCGAACCCGCGGGCTCAGGCAATTCATTCACCTCGGCCTCCCAAAGGCTGAGCCACCGAGCCCGGCTTGCACTGACTCTTAATCTCGCCACCCCACCAGGTGCTGAGACAGAGTCACTCCCTCAAGATCACACACCTCTTGAGTGGTGGGGCTGGGATTTGAACCCAGGCTACCTGTCCCCAAGGTCCACAGTCTCAGCTGCCTCTCCACAGCTCCCTCCTGTGGCCCTCCTGGTCCAGAGCCATCGCTGGTCCCCTATGATGTAGGGACTTGTCACAGCCTGAGTCTGAACTTGACGCCCTGAGTTTGAACTTGATGTCTGAACTTGAGGCTCCAGGGTGAAAGCACCTTCCCCTCACCCATGCCTCCTCTGTGCCCTCCCCTGGGATGCCTTCCCCAGCCTCCAGCCCCTCCCTCAGTCTGCTCCATCCACCGCCTCCTGCACCCACATTTATTTATTTACTTATTTTTGAGTTGGAGTCTCACTCTGTCACCCAGACTGGAGTGCAGTGGCCGCTCCCGGCCACCACAGCCTCGACCTGCTGGGCTCCGGCGATCCTTCCGCCTCCGCCTTCCAAGTAGCTGGAACTACAGGCGCGCGCTTCCACACCCGGCTGATTTTTGATTTATCGTAGAGATGAGGTCTTGCCAAGTTGCCCAGGCGGGTCTCGAACCCACGGGCTCAGGCAATCCACTCATCTCAGCCTCCCAAAGGTGCGGGATCACAGGCTGAGCCCCCGAGCCCGGCTACCCACGTTTATTTTAATAACCCCTTCCCGTCCTGGGCGGATGGGACTGTCCCACCTGTGATCACCCTTGAGCCTCGTGATTGCCCAGGAGGTTGGTCGAGTAGGTGTCATCATCCCACTTAATCGGAAAAGGAATGGGCCTGGGAGACTGAGTGACTTCATCATGGTCACCTGGCTGATGTGCGGCCCTGCCTGGTCGCCAGCCTCCTTTGGCCCCACCAGAGCCCCAGGCTTCGGCGGCCCCTCCCGTCCCCACCTGCTGTGGGCAGCCACTGCCCCGGGACCCTCCATCTTTACCGGGTCCCGCCGTCTCACACCGGGCCCGATGCAGGGAGGTGCAGGGGAGTGGGGCTGAAATACCCCAAACCCAGGGCCCGGGGCCTGGCCCCTGAGTGGGCTATCACAGGACCAACCATCAAGGGTGCCGGCCGCAGCTCACGGTTGCTTGGGGCCCAGGGAGCCGCATGGGGCTGGGGATTTGTAGGCTTCCTGGGGAACTGGAAGTCAAGTGGGACCGGGAGGGCCTGGGGGTGGCGGCCAGGCTTTCTGGGGTGCGAGGGGGGCCCGCCCCACCCGGGTCTCCCTACCTGGATCTGTCTCCCCGCATCTCTGTCGTTCTGACTCGCTGTCCCTGACTCTCCATCGCTCTGCGTCTCTCTAAGCCTCTTTGCCCCTCTCTGTCTCTGTGTCTCCATGCCTCTCCTCCGTGTCCCCTGATGGGGCCTGGCCCACCTACTCAGGGCCGAAGAGGCCAGAGGGCACCCCCAGCCCTGGACATTGCCGGCTTTGGGAGTGGGGTTGACAGACGCAATACAAGCTGCCTCATTACATCTGAATTCCAGATAAACAGTTACTCACTTTCTGAGTATAAGTCTTTCCCCAGTGCTGCATGGGCTAGACTTACGCTGAAACAACGACTGGTTATTGATCTGGAATGCAAGTCCAACGGGGCGTTCTGTGTTTTCTTTTCTTTTTTTTTTTTTTTTGAGTTGGAGTCTCACTCTGTCTCCCAGACTGGAGTGCAGTGGCCGCTCCTGGCCACGGCAGCCTCCACCTGCTGGGCTCCGGCGATCCTTCCGCCTCAGCCTTCCCAGTAGCCGGAATTACAGGCGTGCGCTACCACGCCCGGCTGATTTTTTTATTTATGGTAGAGATGAGGTCTCGCTGCCCAGGCGGGTCTCGAACCCGCGGGCTCAGGCAATCCGCTCACCTCAGCCTCCCAAAGGCGCGGGATTACAGGCTGAGCCACCGAGCCCGGCTTGTTCTGTGTTTTCATTTGTGAAATCTGGCAGCCCTGCTTGGGAGGAGAGACAGGCTTGGGAGGAGAGATAGGCGTGTGAGCCCCAGACCCGGGCAGGGCCTGTGCGCCAGAATGGCGCTTGGATGTGGTGTAGTTCCCTTTTTATTAAAAAGCCGCTTTGAGAGGTATCAGAATCATGTCGGTCGGGGAGTGAAGAGGGCGTTTTGGGGGAGGTCTGCCTTCCTCCGAGGGGGGGCGGGGATGGAAAGGGCCTGGGCGGGGGCATGGCCAGCTGTGCAAACTCAGGGACGTCATTCGCCCATCCCGAGCCTCCGTTTCGCCATCTGTAAATGGGAGAAATAAGCCCTCTTGGGGCTGCAGTGAGGATCAGGCGAACTAGTGTACAGAAAGGCTTAGCCGGGCTTGCCAGGGCGAGGCTGCAGGGAGGGGGGATGGTCTCTGGGCGTTGTGACGACTCCTGCCATAATTACTCCTGGGGAGGCGGTGGCAAACGTCTGGACTCAGGAGACAGATGGCCTGGGTTTGGGTCCCAGTCCCGCCGCTCTATCGCCATGATCTTGGACAGGTTACTCACCCTCGGTTTCCCCATCTGTAAGATGGGATACGCTCACAGATGGCACCTACCTCCTAGGGTTTTCGAGAGGATTGCATGACATAACACACTTAAACCCAACACAGGGCGGGCGCTCAGCAAGTGCCAGCCACAGTCATCCCCTTCCAAGAGGTGTGTGTGTGCAGGCCGCTTCCTCCAGGAGGCCTTCTGGGCCCTCCCACTCACCGTGGTCTCTCGCTCCGTGGTTTCCCACTGAGCTGCGACCCATGACCCAGCGCCCCTCTGGCTGTCCCGGGCAATGTTGGTCCTCAGCTCCCAGGGGGACGGAAGGCTCTGGAGAGGCAGAGAGAGAGCAGCAGGTTACCTGCCCCAGGCCGCAGACCCCGCGTGCATGGTGGGCACCCCACAGTGAGCAGGCTGGCTTCCGTGCAGGACTCCCACACTAGCAGGAATGCAGGCAATGCAGGCTCGGGGCCACATGACAGGGCGGCGATTTAAACCTACAGCTGAATCTGGTCACATTTCCCCGGTGCTATGGAAAAGTGTGGGCTGAAGTCACAGAGACCTGAGGGCAGGTCTGGCTCCGCCACAGATGCTGTGTGACATAAGCCTTGGTGCTGGCCCTCTCTGAGCCTCAGAGTCTTACCTGCCGAATGGGAATGATACCACTCACCCTGCAGATTTGTAAGAGTGAAGGGAAGCCTATAATCCAGCGCTTGAGAGGCTGAGGCAGAAGGATCGCTTGAGGCCAGGAGTTCGAGACCATCCTGGGCAGCGCAGCAAGACCTCGTCTCTTCAAAAAAGTCAAAAAATTGGCAAGGCATGGTGGTGTGTGTCTGTAGTCCCGGCTATTTGGGAGGCTGGTGCAGAAGGATCGCCTGAGTCCAGGAGTCTGAGGCTACTGTGAGCTATGATTGTGCCATGGCGTTCTAGCCTGGGCAACAGAGTGAGACTCCGACTCAAAAAAAAAAGAGTGAAGGGGGCTATCTGTGGGGGGGGGGCTGGCACACAGCAGGCACTCAGGCACTCCACCAAGACCCCAAGGACGTCCTTATGCTAAGGAGGTAGGTGGTGGGACTCGGGTAGGAGCTGTTCTCCTTAGCACTCTTGGAACCGCAAGGGTCCATTTGTCCCTGACCGCTGTTCACTGAACTCTCCGTGCCCGATTCTGCACTGGGGCTTACAAGCACACAGCTGGGTCCTGACTCCTCAGGTACCTGCAGTCTTTTGGGACATAAAGAAACTCACAAGGGAAATGTGAGCGGACACAGAGCCTTGGAAAGCGAGCCCGTGCATGCGTCTGTATGAGCTCCAGGCTCCACTCCCAGGAGCTCCCTGTGGGAATCTAAGAGGCCTGGGGTGGTCAGGGAAGGCTTCCCGGAGGAAGCAATCTTGAGTAAATGCTCAAGCATCTGAACCAGGCTGTCCCCCTCAGCCCTTCCCATGGCTCCCTGTCCTTCCCAGGTCGGTGCCCGAGGGCACAGAGATGTTGGAGGTCTACGGGAGCCCCGGGGTGGATGTCTACATCTCTCCCAGCATGGAAAGGAGCCGTGAGCGCACTGACAACAGGCGGTGGCGCTTCAGCACAGGTTTGGAGATCATCGTGGTCATGAACTCCCCCAGCAACGAGGTCAACGACAGTCACGTAAGCCGGTCCCCTGGGGGGGGCAGGGCGGGATCTGGCAGTAGGAGGGTCCGACATCCTCTTTCCCCAGCGCACAGGGTGGCAGGGGTGGGGGGGGGAAGTGCCTGACCCTGGAGCCAGCCCACCGGGGTCGGAGTCCGACTCTGCAACGTAGAGACACGAGCCTTGTGTCTCTGGGAAGTCGTAGCACCCCTCGGGACCTCTACCTGCCCATCTGTGAACCGAGGATGGAGGTGACACCTGGCTCCTGATGTCCATGGGGGGCGCACGAGCCAGCATTCGTTTCTTCTCTTGCTTTCCAAGGCCCCCCCCAAGAGGGAGGAGTTGTCTCAGCGGTGCTGTGTGGGGCCTCAGTTTCCCCACAGGCGGGCTGAGAGTTGACTAGGGGATGTCTGTCACTCTGAATGAAGGCGGGAAAGGGAGGGCGGGGGAGGAACCCCACGGCCCGGGACCCCCTTCTCTCCTTGACCCTGTCTGCAGGGAAAGGGGCCTTTGGAAACCTGGGAGAAGTCCCAGGCGATCCCCCTGAGAGGGCTGGTGGGGACCACGGCCCTGTGTGGGGACACAGCCTGCTCCGTGTCGGGAGCGAGGCTTCAGAAACCGGCACTTGAAGGAGTATGGGCCATGGGCCAGCCGCTGGGCAGCGGTGACCTGATCCAGCTGCAAGAGGCGGGCGGGGATGACCCCCTTTGCCGGTGGGGCCACCAAAGCTCGGAGCAGCAACTCTGGGGCCACATAGCAAATGCACAGGAGAGCTGGAGCCCCCGCAGACCAGCCTGACGCCTGGGGGCGGTTCCCCACCCCCACCTCTCCATTCCCTCCCATGAGGCCTTGGGCCCCTTTTGCAAATACGGAGACTGCGGCCAGGAAGGGGTGTGGCTTACCCAAAGTCACAAGATCAGCAGAGCTGTTGAGGGTCAGGACAGAGTTCCAGGGCAGCCCAGAAGGACACGCCAACCTGGGAGGGCCCCCGCTGTGTGGGTGCCTCCTGCCCTGCCCTCCTTGGCCCCAGTGGCTTCTGGGACTGAGGAAGGTCAGAATGCTCCCTTGTCCCCTGCCCCTACCCCACCCGTGGCCAGGATCCGGGTGATTGCAGGCCTGAGGCGCCGTGGGACTGGTGCTTGACACCCAGGAGTGAGGGGCTCCCAGGACTGAGGGTGTGAGTGGCCTCTGCGGGATCCTGACCCCCTGGTTGAGATGGGGTTGATGAGAGGCCCACATCAGGAGGGAACATCCAGTGGGTCAAAGGGGACTAAGATGCGTCCACCAACTGCATCCCCACCCTCAGCATCTTCTTCGTCCCCATCATGGTTCCCGGGTGCTCACCAGAGGCCGGGCACCACGCTGAGCTCACCACTTGCCTGCACCTTTCATCTGCACAGGATATAATCAGTCCCGTGCATGGGGTAGGAGCTATTATTATCCCCACTTTACAGTCGAGGAAATTGAGGCCTAGAGAAGATCCCTCACTTCCCAGGATACTCACGAGCGGCGGATCTGGAGTCTGAGCCCAGGCCGTCTAGACTCCAGAGTTCCTCACTTGACCTCCCAAGATGCCGCCTGCCCCCTGATCACGACAGCTGGCCTTTCTCGGGCACTTCCTACAGCCTCCGTTTTTGGCTACAGCCCTCTGAGATAGGGACCTGTATGGTCCTGTTCTGCAGATGAGAAAACGGAGGCAGCTCAGAGAGGGGACGGGCCTTGGTCAAGGTCACAGAGTCCAGAGATGCCAGGCTGAAGCCCACGCCTGAGTCTCACAGATGAGGATGTTGGCTTGGAGAGTGTCCCCGCACCCTGACCGGTCCAAATTCCTTATCTTACAAATGGTAAAGGGAGCATCCAAAGGGAAGCAGGGGCTTGCCAAGATCACACAGTAGGTCACCAACAGGACTGGGATCCAGGGCTTCATAGAATCCCTCACAAATAGTTCCCATTTTGCAGATGTGCCAACGGAGGCGTGGAAAAATAAATGGCACAGGGAAGGCTAGAGGAAGAGCGGGATTGGGAAACTCACCCTGAGAGTACAGAGGTTCCCGAGGCCCCTGCCCTCCTTACCAGATCCCCTGAGCGCTGTACTTTGGTGGGGTTGACACTTCTGCTGGCAACTCTGGGCTCGTCTCTCGCAGGTTCAGATTTCCTATCACTCCAGTCACGAGTCTTTGCCCCTGGCTTACGCGGTGCTCTACCTAACCTGTGTGGGTAAGTCGGGAGCCATGCTGTGTTGGTCGGATGGGGGTGGTGGTTGGGAATAATACTGAACAAGAGTCTTATTACAAAAATAAACTACAGTCACTTTATTTTTAAATTAAAGAAGTGCACATTTAAAAAATATAAATAGTACAAAAGAATATAAACTGAAAAGCAAACATCCTTCCCTCCAACCCAAGACTTTCACTTCCTCAACCCAGCACCCTCTAGAGATACACTGTGCTTCTACAAGGGGACACAGACCTACTTGTGTATTCCTCCTATTTTGTAAGTAAATGGAAGCTTGCCATAGACCTGGAACTGGACTTTGCTTTTTCCAACTTAAATTTTAATTCTCTACAGATTGATATACAAACTCTGTGCAAGATGACTTTGATGTTGGAACCATCAGACAGACAGAGGATGTAAAGTAATTACGATTACTATGTTAAAGACCCTTATAATACTCAGTGACCTATCACAGAAACAAAGAACTGAGTATCGTGTATTCTCACTCATAAGCGAACTGTGAACATTTATCCTAATACTATAAGAAAGGGATTGGCAGTAGCTGGAAACTGCAGGGTAGGGAGCACATAATATCAATAAGGGTACCTGGTCTCAAACCAGGCAAAGTGGGGACCAAAGGGAAGCCCAAATTTTATCTGTATGTTGTCCACTTGTATACCTAATCCTGAATGGTACCCCACATCTTAAAAAAAAATCTTAAAGACTCTATAGAAAAGGTGAACAACTTGCATGCACAGATGGAGAATTTCAACAGAGATGAAAACCATAAGAGTCAAACGGAAATGCTGAAAATAGAAATCATGTGATAGAGATAAAAAATGCTTTGATGGGTTCATCAGTAGATGCGACACAGCTGAAGAAAGAATCAGTACACTTGAAGATAGGTCAATAGAAGTTACCCAAATGGAAACACAAAGAGAAAAAAAGAGTGGAACAAACCAACAAAAAAACTAGAACAGAGGTCCTAGAGTTCTGGGACAGTATCAAACAGTACAAACTCAATGACATTCCCATCAAAATCCCAATGTGACTTTTTAATAGAACGTTATAGAGCTGGTTTTATTTTATTTACTATTATTAGTGCTAGAGTCAGAGTCTCACTCTGTTGCCAGAACTGGAATGCAGTCACATGATTATAGTTACCACAGCCTCAATCTGCTGGGCTCAGGCGATCATTCCGCCCCAACCTTCCAAGTAGCTGGAACACTACAGATGTGTGCCACCATGCCCAGGGAATTTTTATACTTAACGAAGAGCTGAGAACTCACCAAGTTGCCTAGGCTGGTGTCAAATCCCTGGGCTCAGGCAATCCTCTCACCTGAGCCTCCCAAAATACTGGGATCAAAGGTGTGAGCCACCGCACCCAGCAGAGCTGATTTTAAAACTCACGTGGAAGAGCAAAGGTCAAGAACAGCCAAGACAGATTTGAAGAAGAACAAGTTGGAAGAATTCACAGTCCCAGATATCGACTTTTTTTCAAGCTATAGTAATTGAGGCACTATTTAACTGGTGCAGGGTTAAATATTAATACATGGAGCAATGAAACAAATAGAGAACGCATATATAGACCCATGCCTATGAGGTTATTATGTGGGAATACATGAACTTGGAGCCCTACCTCAAACCTTAATCAAAAATAAATTTCAGATGACTTAAAGATCATAAAGTAAAAATCAAAATGTCAAAGCTTTTAGAAAATAATATCTCTGGCCAGGCTTAGTGGCTCAGTCTGTAATCCCAGCACTTTAGGAGGCTGAGGTGAGTGGATTGTCTGAGTCCGCGGGTTCAAGACCAGCCTGGGCAACTTGGTGAGACCTATTTTATTTATACAGTAAATAAAAAAAAAATTAGCTGGGTGTGGTAGTGCGTGCCTGTAGTTACGGCTATTTGGAAGGCTGAGGCGGAAGGATCACCAGAGCCCAGCCGGTTGATGCTGGGGTGGCCGTGAGCGTGCTACTGCACTCCAGCCTGTGCACTCCAGCCCGACCCCCC